CTCTATTAATGAAAGCTAACACACCATACGCCTTCTTAACAACTCTATCCACCTGGGTGGCAGCTTTCAGGGAACTGTGAACATGAACCCCAAGATCCCTCTGCTCCTCCACACTGCCAAGAATCTTTCCGTTAGCCCTGTATTCTGCTTTCAAATTTGTCCTTCCAAAATGAATCACCTCACACTTTTCAGGGTTAAACTCCATCTGCCACTTCTCAGCCCAGCTCTGCATCCTATCAATGTCCCTTTGTAACCTAGAACAGCCCTCCGCACTGTCCACAACGCGACCCACCTTTGTATCGTCCGCGAACTTGCTAACCCACCCTTCCACTCCTACATCCAAATCATTTACAAAAATCACAAATAGAAGAGGACCCAGGACAGATCCTTGTGGTACACCACTCGTAACTGAGCACCATGTTGAATATTTTCCATCCACTACCACCCTTTGTCTTCTAAGGGTCAGCCAATTCCGAATCCAATCTTCCACATTTCCCCCTATCCCATGCCTGCTTACCTTCTGCATCAGTCTACCATGGGGAACCTTATCAAACGCTTTACTTAAATCCATGTATACCACATCCACTGCTCTACCTTCATCCATGTGTTTGGTTACCTCTTCAAAGAATTCAATAAGGTTTGTGAGGCATGATCTACCCCTCACAAAACCATGCTGACTATCACAAATCAAACTGTGCCTTTCCAAGGGATCATAAATCCTATCTCTTAGAGCCCTTTCCAAAAATTTGCCCACCACCGATGTAAGACTAATTGGCTTGAAATTTCCGGGGTTATCCCTATTCCCTTTATTGAACAAGGGAATGACATTTGCCTCTCTCCAATCTTCCGGCACTATACCCGTGGACAGTGAGGACGAAAAGATCGTCGCCAAAGGCCCTGCGATCTCTTCCCTCGCTTCCCATAGAATCCTTGGATAAATCCCATCAGGCCCGGGGGACTTATCTATCTTCAACTTCCTCAAAATTCCTAGCACATCTTCCTTACTAACATCGACCTTCTCTAGCCTACCAGCCTGTTTCACACTGTCCTCCTCTACAACTAGGTCCCTCTCAGTTGTGAATACCGAAGAAAAGTAATCATTAAGGACCTCTCCTTTCTCTTTAGACTTCGTGCACAAATTCCCTTTACAATCCTTGATCGGCCCTTTCTCTGGTCATTCTATTATTCCTCAGGTATGTGTAAAAAGCCTTGGAGTTTTCCTTGATCCTATCTGCCAAGGTTTTCTTATGCCCCCTTATAGCTCTTCAAAGCTCTTTCTTCAGCTCCTTCCTGGATAACTTGTATCCCTGTACAGCCTTTTCCGTTCCTTGTTTCCTAAACCTTACATAAGCATCCTTCTTCCTCTTAACCAGTCATTCGACCTCTCTTGAGAACCAAGGCTCCCTCACTTGACCGCAACTTCCCTGCCTGCTGGGGACAAACATATCGAGCACACACAGTTTGCATTCCTTAAACAATCTCCACATTTTAATAGTGCTTTTCCCTGACAGCATCTATTCCCAATTTATGTTACCCAGTTCTTGCCTAACAGAATTGTAATTACCCTTCCCCCAATTATAAACCTTACCCTGCTGTATGTACCTATCCTTTTCCACTACTATTGTAAAAGTAACAGAGTTATGATCACTACCGCAAAAATGCTCTCCTATCAACAGGTCTAACACTTGGCCCGGTTCATTGCCAAGCACCAAATCCAAAGTGGCCTCTCCTCGTGTTGGTCTATCTACATACTGTGTCAGGAATCCTTTCTGAACGCACTGGACAAAATCCGCTCCATCTAAACTATTACAACTAAAATGTTTCCAATCAATATTTGGAAAGTTGAAGTCACCCATGACTACAACCCTGTGATTTCTGCACCTTTCCAGTATCTGCCTCCCAATCCACTCCTCTACTTCTCTGCAACTGTTAGGGGGTCTGTAAAAAACCCCCAACAAACTGACTGCTCCTTTCTTGTTCTGGACCTCAACCCAAACTGACTCTGTAGACATATCATTCTCGAACTGCCTTTCAGTAGCTGCTATACTAGCCCTGACTAGCAATGCCTCTCCCCTGCCTCTTTTATCACCCTCCCCATTTCTTTTAAAGCATCTAAATCCCGGAACTTCCAGTAACCATTCCTCTCCCTGAGTTGCCCAAGTTTCTGAAATGGCCACAATATCGTAGTTCCAAGTATCGACCCATGCTCTAAGTTCATCCACCTTATTTCTGATACTTCTAGCATTGAAGTATACACACCTCAACCATCTCGGTGTCCGCAATTACGCTCCATCAACTGCATTTCTTTAGAAACAACCTCACTCCCTGTTGTGTCTGTTGGAAGGCTGAATACCTCATCCTCTGAATTATAAATCCGGTTCCACACCCCCTGCCAATCTAGTTTAAACCATCCCGTATAGCTTGAGCAAACCTCCCTCCCAGGATATTTGTGCCCTTCCGGTTCAAGTGCAACCCATCTTCATAGGTCCCACCTTCCCCAGAATGTGCTCCAATTATCCACATAATGGAAGCCTTCCCTCCTACACCAGCCCTGTAGCCATGTGTTTAGCTGCACTCTCTCCCTATTTCTTACCTCGTTTTCACGTGGCACTGGAAACATGTCCAAACAGATTGGCTAAATTATTTATAAGACAAGGATACAAGAGAGCTCAATCCCACTTCACTACTTGGTGGAACATTCTGCTGTATTGTCAAGTACTTTATTAAATAGCAGGCTAAATGGCCTACTCCAGCTTCTAGTTCTTATGAAACACTTCGTGGCACCAGAAATCTTCATTGTAAAAAATGTCTGGATTCGGTTTCAAAAGTTCAAAAGTTTGAATTTTTTTAAAAAAAGTAAACATGCATTGATTGCTCCCAGGCTTACATATGGACAGTGTATTTTATTACAATCCAACTTGACAGAAGAACCTGAACAGTTTTTTTCCTATTCCCTAGCTGCTCAACAGCCAGACTCAAAGCCCTTCTCATTCAGTTCTTCCCAATAATTGGATGGCTTCCGAAGTACAACATTAAGAAGAGTTTAATTTTTGATATCATATCAGGTATCAGTGCTGGGACTATCCAAGTCCCTCAAGGTAAGAAAGATTCTTCTTTAGACTGAATTTTGGCAACATTTTCATGCCTATGGGATGACACAGCAAAAAATGAAAAACATAGCTGAATACTTCAATCCAGTAACAACAAACTCACAGCACCTAGTACACTTTATTGAGTCGTCACACCTTTCCTTATCAATAAATAATGGTAGTCACTTGTAGATGTTATGTTAGAATGCCATTAAATTCCACATTTGAGTTCTTCAGATCCTTGTAGCTGCATTGGAGCATAGAAACATAAGCAGGTCATTCGACACTTTTGAGACTGTTCCACCATTTATTCACCATTCTGTATCCTACCTCCACTTGTCTTAACTCCACATCCCTTAATTTTCTTCGCTGGCTGAAATCTTTTGATGTCAGATTTAATTAAGTTGTTATTTAAGCTGTTCTTAGTGAGAGAGACCGTCACATCCTCCTTCATGTGAAGAAGTGGTTCCTAACATCTCTCCTGTGTGGTCCACTTCTGCTTCGAGGTTATGTCCCTTGTCCCTAAGCAGTGGAAAACATTTCTCTGCATCTAACCTGTGAATTTATTTCAACACCTTAAAAGCGTCAATCAAGTCATCCCTTAATTATTTGTATGTATTCCAGAGAATGCGAGTCTAGCTCATGTAATCTCTCTCCATTACCAAAGCCTTAGAGTTAAAAATGCTAACCTAAACATGGTAGCATTCTAGCGAAGCTGCACTGAACTGCTTCCAACACTTTTATTGCCTTTCTAAAGTGTGGTGGTTAGAACTGTACACAGTAGTCCAAATGTGAATTAAACAGGCTTGCACCAAAACACCCTTCTATTTATATTCTAGACTCCCAGTTAAAAAGGCTGAACATTTCATCACCCTTTTTTGATTATTTTATTTTACCTGACCACAACATTTTAGTGATCTGTGTAGACAGACCAAGATATTGCTTTGTATCTACCTTAGCCTATAGCTTTTCATCATTCAGAAAATACTTCGATCTACACTTTATTTTCTTCAATATAAATGATGCACAAAGGGGAAGTGCCATATTTGATTCAGATGAGGGTTAGAGAGTTTGTTGCTCTCCCCTGGATTATGGATGGGTGGGAAGGCTTCGAGGACAGTCTTCCTGCCCAGATGCCATTTGAGGTCTTTATCTCAGCTATTAAGCACTACTTACGGTCATCTTCTGTTATTCTACTGATGACAGATGGGAGATTCACTGTGTGGGGAAACCAGAAAGTGAACCCTGTTGGGCTTCCTCGCAACCATTCAGTAGCACAAAGTGCCTGATCAAGAGAAGGGGGATTCTTCAGAGAGTGACTATCCCTACCGTTTAGTCTGATTCCTCTCTCACTCCCGTCCTGCATCCTCCTGAAAACTTCCATCCCACGCTCACTTACCTTTCTCCTGAATTCAACAATGATCCCTGGTGAAAACCCTAGTGCACAAATGGTAGCAGCCATTATTTCCAATGGAGAGCGTCTGCCTGGCCAGCAGCTGTCAGGGGTGAAATTTCAGCCCTAGTTGTTTTGGAGGCGCGGGATGAAGTTGGGGAAGTATCCTGGATTGAAATGTCCCCTGCAGATTCGGGAGCCACAGCAGTAGAGTTCCCATTGTCAATTAGTGACTTCCATCAGGGTTCCCAGAGGTCTGGTCAATTGGTTGCCATCAGACTTGTTACTGGGCACCAGACCCCTCCAGCACCTTGCTAAATTCTGCTCCATGCTACTAATTATTGTGAAATTGGAAAAGTTCCACAATGCTAAGTCAATAATCAATATTGTGAATACTTGAGGCCAGATATCCTTGTGAGACACTTCTAGTCACTTGCTTTCAACTTTCATATAGCCATTGTCCCTCAAACTCAACCAGGTCAATAATGTGTCTTCAGTTCTTTGTGCTTTCATTTTATCTTTTTCTCTAATGTGGAACTTTATTTTATGCCTTCTGAAAGCCCAAATAAACAATATCTGTAGATATTCACCTGTCTGTAATAAAGGACTTAATTAGATTTGTTTGATATGACCTGATTTTTACAAATCCAGTTTGGCTCTTTCTCATCAGCTCAAATTACTTTAAGCACTCAGTAACTCCATCCTTAATTATAACTTTCAATAACTTCCCCATGACAGACGCTAGATTGACAGGTCTACAATTTCCTGATTTCTCTCTTCTACCTATTTTAAATGATGAAATTACATTTATATTTGTCCAATGTAAAGTGTCAATCCCTGAATGGAGGAAACTTTGGAAGATTAAACCCAGAAGATTTGCAATTTCTTCACTACTCCCTTTGAAACCCTGAGGTGGAGACTTTCAGATATTATAGATTTAGTGTCACCACTTGTTCTAACACTGTTTTGATCTATTTACTGCATTTTGAAGTTTCATCTGGATAAGTATTCAAAAGAAGACTCTTTTCTTCAATTCTTCTGATGGCTTTCAAATGCTGAAGCAAAACCATGAGAGTTTTACAGAGCACAAGGTAGCCATTTTGGCCAAATTGCCTGAACCCCTGATCTGAAAGTGCTATCTAAGTTTGGATATGGGTTCCAACTCATATTTCCATTCTAATTCACAACAGACATTCTACTAATTTTTCCCCTTGTTTACCTATTCACTGCAAAGAATTCCTATTGCCAGTGACATATATAAACTGGTTTATCCTGTATTAACATTGTTTGCTTAAATGTATTGATAAGAATCTTACATTCCCATATATCTTCATGTGGTCTGACCAGTGGACTGAATTCATTGTAAAACTAGTTTATATGCAATTTAATTTAACTATTTCCAAAGCAATTCAGACCTAAGTAATTGGACACCAAAAAATCATACTTTGTGCTCAGTTGAGATATGATAAGGCGCTATATAAACGATATAAATGTAAGTATTATTATAAGCTATCTTTTTTGACTATATAGTTATCGTAGAGTTCCATTATGATTATTGCAAACTTTCCAACATTCTTAAGTGAACCTAGAGATCCAAGTAAAACAGTTTGTAAAAGGAAACAATTTAAACATGAAGAAGAGGCTGGTCCTTGGCAAGCAGAATATTAATCTGGGTTTGCAAACGTTGTAATGCAACTTGAAATTTTGCAAAATCATCCAACAGCACAAATCATTCATTGATTACACAGGAAGGGAGATTACAACATAATGGAATTGCTGTAAAATGAATTCCTTTGTGTGTCTTAGGTCCTCTAATTACAGAGAACTTTTTTTGCAAAATAAAAAAAACCTTTACGAACATGCACAGTTACTAAAGCAGGTCCGATTTATAGATTTTTTGCTTACAGAGAAGAAAACAAACACTGGGATTTAGCTTTCTCGATAGTTACAACTAATCTAAAAGCATTTCTCAATTGTGCTAGGTACTAGGAACTACTTGTGTGTATTGAAGTCATTTTGTCAGAAAGACCTTAGGTGGTGGCCTTTCCCCAATTATAGAGAACTGGTTATTAAAACAGCATGCTCTCTTTTGGTTTTGTATCTAAGATGGCTTGTAAGTGGTGACTTTTCACTGTACTCATGTGAGTACATGTAACAATAAACCTAATCCAAATTCATGCAATGTGGGCATCGTGGGAAGACTAGCATTTTCTGCCCATTCCTAATTGACCTTAAACCAAGAGGATGTCTTGGTCATTTCAAAGTCCAATTAAGATCAAGTCAAACGCATTATGTGGGTCTGGTCTCATGGTAGGTCAGATGAGATTTCATTCCCTAAAGGGTATTAGTCAACCAGGTATTAACCACAATCAACAATGGTTATATGTTTATTGATGTGACTAACTTTATAATTCAAAGTTATAAATGGAATTTAAATTCCATCATGTGCTATCAGGCAGGGGGTGAGTGGCGCTGGTGGTGGAGTGAGGGAGGACTTGAATCTGCATTCCAAGTTATTTTGAACTTGTGTCACCTAGTGACATTCCCGCTCTGTCATCTCATCATCATATTATGTAGTTTAGAATTGGGGAGAAGATGATGAGAACTTGTGCCATTCATCACTAGGACTTTTGCCCACATTGTCAACGATATCAAAGAAGAAAATGTGTTTTTGTTGCTAACTGCAGTGGTGTAAACTCAAGATTTGGATAGTAACATGTTGCTTTCAATTAAGATGTGTTTTCTTTAATAGGAATGGCATTTGCTTTGCTGGCCAGTCTCCCACCAGTCAATGGATTATATTCCTCATTCTTTCCTCTTCTTGTCTACTTCTTCCTTGGAAGCATACATCACATGGTCCCAGGTTTGTCTATCCTGCTGATTTTTTTTTAAATTCTTAGCATGATATGACTTGTACTTTTAGAACACTTAATTGTAAGATGATGAAAACCAAAGTGAATACCAATATTTTATTGCAAAGAACACTTGATGGGACAAAGGCAAACTACTGCTCAATTTGGAAATAAAAGCAGAATATCCTGGAATTATGCAACAGGCCTGGCTGCATTTGTGGAGAGATATCCAGAGTTACTGTTACACGCCAATGACAATTCCTTAGAATTCACAGGATCTGATCCTATCTGTAATAACTAAGCTGTTTGTTCTTTTTTAAATTCTGATCTTATTTCTGTTGCCTTCATTTTGACAATGCATGTCATTCTCACCTCATATTATGCTTCGCTCAACAAACCCGTTAAACACAAAAACAAAGTGACCCTCTGTTCATACTATTCTTGAATCAACAAGGAAGGTATGTAATCAGAAGATGAATTACAATGAGCTAGTCCATGCCAAAATATGAGGTTAAGCTAATGTTTCAGGTGAAACCTTTAGAAGAAAAACAATTCCGTTGAAGTATGACATTTAAAGGATGTCCTATTTCAGGTAGTAGCCAAGCTACTGTGTGTTTCCAGCAATTCTGACAAAATCAGAAAGTATTTTCCTACAAGTCATGCACCATTCTGACTTGGAGCGATGTTACTGTTCCTTCAATATCATTGTACAGTAAGCTTGGAATTCCCTCACTAAGAGCATTGTTGTGCATATCCATACCATTTGGATTACAACAGTTCAAGCACACTGCTACTACCTTCTCCAGGGCAATTAGGGATCGGCAAGAAATGTTGGTCTGCCTAATGATGCCTAAAACTCGTGAATGAATTTGTTTCCAACATACATATCTGCTGTTTCTCTTTCTCAGGGAGTGGTCGTACCTGTTAACTTTGTCCCTTAGCGAAATTCTTCATAAAATTCTCCCAGGCATAACTGAGATGGTGATTAATTTGTGTCAGAAATTGCAAATGGGAACCGATGGTGAATAGATTTTCATCATGAATATGAACAGTTGACTGTTGATGCATGGTCACAGACTTTTAACTGAGAATACACATCGTGTGTAGCAAATTTCTGAAAGAACTACAATAATGTAAAATGAATGTAATCCTACCCGTGACACATTCATCAACAAAAACAACTTGTATATGTATAGCACACTTATTGTAGTCAAATTAAGATGCTTTTTAAGAATATTTTCCCACCCAATTTGGCACAATACCACTTCATTAAGACAAGTGACTAAATCTGATCAGGGAATTTTAAGGAGCATCTTAAAGATTTGGACAGAAATAAAGAGGTGGTGCAATTTAGGGTGGTGATTCTAGAGCTTAGGACCTCAGCAGCTGAAGACGGGGCAGCCAATGGAGAAGTAATGAAAATCAATGCACAACGGGCGAGAGCTAGAGATGCACAGAAATCTCAGAAGGATGTCAGGTTTATAAAGTCTACAGAAATCGATAGTAATCAGTTTGATCTCATGAGGTGATATGATCTCTGGTACGTTCTGATCCATCGCTCAGCAGGTTGAGTGCAGTTGCTTCAGCATTTTGGGTTTGGTTTGTGAAAAGGCGTAGAATTACGTTTTAGAATTACGTGGCAAAATGACCTTAAGTGGCAGTATGGACAGGATTTAAAGGAAAAAAAATGTCAGGTTCTAATGTAAACATGTGGAATCATAGCCATTAAGCAAGTCCGACATTCATGAGAGAAAAACAGAGAATGCTCCTGAAGAAGAGTCCTATCGGACTCAAAGTGTAATTCTGTGTCTCTCAACACAGACTTTGCCAGACCGACTGAGCTTTTCCAACATTCTCTGTTTTTATTTCAGATCTCCAGCATCTGTAGTATTTTGCTTTTCTTTGAGCCCAATATTCGTGATACTTGGAACATACGGTCCCTCTAATTTTTCCAGCGTATGGGTCTGAGGTCCATACACAGCAGCAGCTGGAGATGGCACCTTAATGGGTGATCCTCAGAGCAGATGGGCGGTTTACAGGGAGCATTGCCAGGAATATCAGGAGTAAACACTCCCTATCCTTTCCTGAGGAATCTAACATCGCGGGAGGGGCAAAAATACAGAATTATCAAGTTTTAATAAGAGAAGTATCATTTGTAATATTCATCTTTGAATCCCTGAGGTATTCCAAACCAATCCAGATGTCGGCCATTCTTGGGCCTATTCGAATTCATGAAATGGGCACAATGGTAACCACTTTTGCAGAGCAGAGGTTTATGATGGGAAAAGCCCATAGTCTGCTCTTAAATTGGTTGTGGCTATTTTGTCCTTGTCGCCCAACTGAAATGAGACTTTTGTATCCATTTTCAGCCTGGATGCCTAATTTCCTATTGACTGGTCAAAGATTGCCATCAGTATGAAATTGTATTGGAAGCAGCTTAGAGAAGGTTCAACTCGATTGATTTCAGAGATGAAAGGTTTGTCTTATGAGGACAGATTAAGCTGTTTAGGCCTATCCTCTCTAGAGTTTAGAAAGGTGAGAGCAGATCTAGCTGAGGTATATAAGATGCTAAAGGAGATTGACAAAGTAGGCACAGAGTAGATGTTTTCTCTAGATGTAGAGCAATCTAGAATAAGAGGTCATAGTTTTAGGTCAAGGGGTGGCAGACTTAAAACAGAGATGAGGAGGAATTACTTTTCTCAAAAGGTGGTAAATCTGTTGAAATCATTACCACAGAGTGCAATAGTTGCTGGGACATTGAGCCAATTTAAGGAGGACATAGGCAGATTTTTAACTAATAATGGATTAAAGGGTTATGGGGAGAGGGCAGGAAAGTGGAGTTGAGGCCAAGATGAGATCAACCATGGTGGAGCAGGCTCATGGGGGTGAATTTTCCACTCCTGCTCCTGATTCTTGTGTTCTTCACTCTGGGTGTATAACAAACAGTGCAAGACACTTACAACAACTTTAAAAAGTTCTTTGCATGAAGTCAGAAAGAATAAAGTTCTGCTGCTGGATCCACAAAACAATTTTAGACTATTGTCAGCCTGCCTTCACCGCACACTCCCATCCCGTCTGCCTCCCACCTCCAAATCCCCTTCCCACTGACAACCAACACTTTCGAAAGCCTCCCTCACTCAAGACTTACCTATGGACCTGAATGCTGGATGAAAATAACTATACCCCAATCGGTGAGCTGCATTGTGATGCCTGGTTGCTACCCACGTACTGCCTGAATGATGATAATGAGCCTTGAGGACAAATTGAAGTCAAACCAAAATCACAGTTTCAGGCTCACTCAAAATTCTGATCCACATCTGGTGTTTCTGTCATGATTGTTTTCCAGAGTGTTAGCCCAAGTAATTAAAACTTTTAAAAGATGTATATTTTTGTTGTGTGTTTTATGGCTTTCAGTGGCTAAGCCAGCAATTTGGCTCACACCTAATTTGCCTTCTGAAGGTGAAGGTAGGCCACCATCTTGAACTGCTGTAGTCCATGTGGTGGAAATACACCTACCGTGCTGTTAAGAAGAGAGTTCCAGGAATTTTCCCCAGCAACACTGAAGGAATGGTGATATATTTCGAAGTCAGGTTGGTGAGTGGCTTCGAGGGGAACTTATGGTGGTGTTTCCATCTGTCTGCTGCCCTTACCATCTTAGGTGGCAGAGATTGAGGTTTGGAAGGGTTTGAATTCATGTTCAAATTGTGTGCTCTTCAAAACACTTCAATGGTCATATAACCTCTATACTGAAAGGGACCACCAGTCAGAGGTAAGTCAATTGTACTGTAACACTGATTCTTCAACCAATGCTTGGTGTGAGCACTGCTACCTGTCTACAGAGTGTAGGAACAGTGAATGTATCTTAATATTCCTTCAGATTACAGGATTAGACCAGAATGTATAGATTTTACCCAGCATACAGTGACCAGGAGTCATGTTTTACTACCAAAACACTCTCTCTGGAAGTTTCTGCTTTCAGTTGTGCTATCATGAGAAGATGGCAAAAGAAAGTAAGAATATTAGTTTAAAGAAAGGAGAACAAAATCAGAAGATAAGTCATCCTGGATCAATCCTGCTTCTTATGCTCAGTACCCAGTGACTGACACAGATTGCTCTTAAAGACAGGCTGTCTCTCTTGAGCATAAACTAACATGAAGAATATTGCTGCACTATAAATCGTGATAATTGCGAATCCCAGAAGATAGCAAAGTTCCAAGATATGTATGCTGCAAGAAAGGCTATAGTAGTGGAGATAGACAAAAGGAGAGATGTTGTGGTTCCACGAGGGCAGATGGAGACAAGTTATCTTCAAAGACCACCCTCAGAAGCGAATGCTAAAAGACAGCTGGAATAGTCAATTCCCAGCATCTGTACCCAAGGACCTGTCATTTGTGCCATATGAGGTTTATTTATCTCACACGGATAGTCAAGTCTGGTGATTGTAGCTTCACATGCCTTCCACTGCCCACCACGACACCAACATCTCATTCTGCTCAATGCACTAGGCTCCCTTCATTCATCCAGCACCCATTCCTGACATTCAGACCTTCCCACATCAAATTTAATCAGGATGGATGCACGAAGGAATTGTCGTCCCATCTGATTAATAGCCCGTCAACATTACGTGTACCATGGGGAAGGACGTAAGATTCTATCCCATGACCTTCTGGCTTACGTGGGAAAGTCCTAAGCACCGCTCAGGATAATGTAATGCATCAAAATATCGCCTCGCAGGTTTCTCATGCTAGTCACTCTTCATGTTTTCAACAGGTACCTTTGCTGTGTTGAGCATTATAGTTGGGACCGTGGTTCAAAATGAGGCTCCTCTTGAAAAATTTCAACACTTCAATGAAACTCTGAATGAAACGGTCACAGATAATGCCGCTATGAATGCGTATCGCATGAGAATTGCAGGAACTGTAACTTGCTTAACAGCTGTAATACAGGTAAACAATTCAGAAATATCACCCATCAGATGGAAGCCATTAAGACAAATTAGATTGGAAGCATATTTCAGCTCCAAGGAGAGTAAACTGTTTAATTCCTGTTTTATTCTATGTTTGTTTTTGTTCACAAAATGGGGGTAAATCAAACAGAAGTAAATTGCTGCAGATGCTGGAAATTTGAAATGAACACACAGAATGTTGGAGAAACTCAGCAGGTCTGGTAGTATCCATGGAGGGAGAAAAAGTAGACCTACTGGGCTGGCTTAATTGTGGATGTTGGAATCCTATTGTGCCGGTCCTCATCCCATTTGTGCCTGAGCCTCCCTCTTCCCTCTTCTCCACAGTCCCTACACTATACCACCTGCAGGATCTTGCCAGAGGTAGCCAAGATACAGGCTGTTCCAGGAAATTGGGAATACATAGATGGGAGGAACAATTGTTTAGCAACAGCCAGCAGGCCAACAAAGAAAGTGAGCACCATCAATGAAGCTGGAGGACCATTTTGGTGGCACCCTTTGTTCAAGTTTAGTCTGGACATAGCTGTGAGCCCATCAGTAGGAAGGAATGTCATGAATGAATGCCTTACGGCTACATTTGAGGTCTACTGCAGCTTGTAGTAAGTGGGGGAAGGGGTGTTAGGGAGCTGGGGGCTGTGGTTGGGTGGTAAATTTACAGGAGGAATCAATGGTCACCAGGAGTCCATCTCTAACAGATGGCGGGATCCACATTCAGCAGCGGGATAGTGGTGGGGACCACACCAACGGAGGGAGTACCTCATCGCCATTAAAAATGGTCAGTAACTGGACCTTCAGCTCAAATCAATACCATCCCATTTCATTTCAGCAGGTTGCCAATTTTTTTTTAATCCCCAGCTACGCTGGGAACATGCCCAATCCTGCAAATTCTCCCAGCAACCCAAACCTTCAATCCAATATCCACAGGGCCAGATCATTGGGCTTATATCGGAGATGGAGAAATTTAGAGATGTAATAGTTTTTTAAGCAATTATAGAGGCAAGGGAAGGGGAGTAAATTTAAAAGGCAAGGCCTGTGAGAGGGTGCAAGGTAGGAATGACTGAATGTCAAATGATTGATGATGCAAGGCCATTGGAGAATACAAGACAGTAATCAGGCAAGAAACAAGAGATGATCCTAGAGCAGGTTTCAGTGGAAATGCAGAATCATGACTAACAGGTGCCAGTCATAACAAGAAAAAACTAAATAAAAATCTGTTCTATAAAAAAAATCTAAAGGCTCTTGAGGTTCAGTAAGTAGTGTCACTACCACTGAGCCAGGAGGCCCATGTTCAAGTCTCACCTGTCATCATATCTCTGAACAGGTTGATTAGAAAATACCTTGGTCAAAATATAAGGGTTCTTGTGGTACCGTGGTGGTGTCACTTCTTCAAAGGCCTGAGTTCAAGTCCCACCAGCTCCAGAGGTATATAATGGCATCTCTGAAAGTTGATTAGAAACATCTTTTAAAAAGCACTTGAACGCTGCTACAAGCAAACCAGGGAAAATGCTATCAGACAACTTTCCGTTTCCTCTTAAACACCTATGTTCATTACTGTTAAGAACATTAAAATGAGGAAAAGGTTAATCGAAGAATAGTGAGACAGCTGATGGTATGGAGACCTTCAGGAATAACATCCAACTAAAAACGGCAACAGTAACCATCCTTCACACAGTTATCTATGTCAAATAAACAAAAAAAAACCCACAATTTGAATTAAGGCCATAGTTGTTCTCAAAGGATGTGGCTGTCCACCTCTAATTTCAAGTGAGCTGTGTGATGTGATTGGCCATTGCAGAGCAGTAGATAACATCAACCGCATTTCTGTAGATCTGGCGTCACATGTAAACTAAGTGGCATGTTTCTTTCCCCGAAGGACATACGTGAATCTGATGACTATTTACACAGTAGCTGGATGACGGTCATCATTGCTGGAACTAGCGTACAATTCCAATTTCATTAATTTGAGTTTAAATTCCACCAGCTGCTGTGTTGGAGTTCAGGCCCATGTTCCCAGGTCATTGACCCAACATCCAATGACATTACACTATGTTGCCTACTTTCCACTGTCATTGCGTGGGAAGAAGGGCAGGATACTCAGTGGCTGGTTGCAGTTAAAAAAATCAGATATACAATAAAGAATTGAATGATAATCTTCCTTCTTGTTAATTGACAGATTTGCTTGGGCTTTGTTCAGTTTGGTTTTATCTCCATCTATCTCTCCGAATCCTTTATCAGAGGATTCATGACAGCAGCTGGGTTACAAATCTTAATCTCACTGTTGAAATACATCTTTGGACTGACCATTCACGCTTACAGTGGTCCACTGGCAATAATATATGTAAGTAACTGATAACAAGCCATTAACGCAATATTTTCATTTCTATATTTTGAGATACAGCCTAACGTTTTACTTTTCTTCCAACCAGACATTCATTGACATCTGTAAAAACCTTCCCAAAACCAATGTAGCAGCGCTGATTTTTGCTATAATTACTGGTGTGCTCCTGTTCATTGTCAAGGAGATTAACGTCAGATTTAAACACAAGCTTCCATTCCCCATCCCAATGGAAACTATTTTGGTAAGTAACGATTGAGAGTTTTCATTTTTTTGGTGGATTTACATGACAGCCAGTCATCACACTTGAGAGCTTCTAAAGTTGTAAGTTGTTTACACTTGAAGTCTAAACTGCTCTTCTAACAGTCACTGAATGGTATATATTCTCGTGAATCAATGAACAAACTTATCACCGAATTTGATATTGAGTGTTCAGGCCAGAAATGCTCCCATTTTCCTTTGTCCTGTGCCATTATCAGTGGAGTGCTTATGAGGAAGAACAAATTTAACTTAGTGACAAAATTTTGAATGAGTGATTGTCAATGATATCTGTTCTGCTGTCTGTTATGTGGCTTTCTCAGCAAAGTCAATGGAATCAGTTGCTCAATAGCACAGCCCTGGAACGTTGCTGAAAAGTGTGATGTGTTGCTGAACCTTTTTGTCTTGCACTCATCAGGACAAACACAAGAATGCCAAATTTCAAATGACCACAACAATGTATACTACAGGTGAAAAGGGTGTTAATTGATTGCTATGTCAACTTTGAATTGTTGAACTATTGCCCTGGAGAAATCACTGGGGACCTCAATGCTCCCCCAGCTCTGAGTAATTCAAAAAACGTGCAAGGATTCAATGCTTTTTTACTCCATAAGGAATAACTTGCCTACAATGACAAACTAAACTTCATGGGACCTTGGGTGGAAGTAACAAGGAGTTGCTTGTGCCTGAGCAGAAAAAGGGGGAGGGAAATAGCTTTATTGCATTTCTTTAAAATATTGCTTTGTTTTCACTTCCAGGTCATCGTTACCACAGCAATCTCAGGCGGTGCAAGATTACCACAAAAATTTGGTATAGATGTTGTTGGAGAGATTCCCCTGGGGTTAGTATTAAAGAATATAAATTACTTTCTTTAAGATTCTTGCTGGCAAATTCTAACAGATATATAGCACAACACGACTGAGTCAAACACAGCGTCAATGTCCAGACCTGATCTATGATCATCATCTCATTTTGGAGATTAGGAGGAGTCATAATCTGAATCTAGCTACTGGAAGGGATTTGGGGAACTAGCTTCATAATTGGCAGAATATACAAAAGTTCTGACACATTCTACACTTAGGTTTTCATCTGTTAGTTTAAATTGTGTGACAGTTACATTGTTTGCACCTGATTTTCTAATATACAAAGGTGGAAAATAATTCAACAATAACTTGTATTTTTACAGTGCCCTTACCATAACAAAGGCAGAATAGTGGCTCAATGGTTAGGACTGCTACATCACAGCACCAGCGACCTGGGTTTGATTCCACCCTTGGGTGACTATGTGGAGCTTGCACATTCTTCCCGTGTCTGCGTGGGTTTCCTCCAGGTGCTCCAGTTTTCTCCCACAGTCAAAAGATGTGCAGGCTAGGTGGATTAGGCATGGAAAATACAGGGATAGTGTGTGTGTGGTGGTGGGGGAGGGGGTGGGTGGATCTGGGTGGGATGCTCTTTGGAGATTGGTGTGGGCTTGATGGGCCGAATGGCCTGCTTCCACTTGGTAAGGTTTCTGTGAAAATGTCCCAAGGCTTTTCACAGGAGCATGACAAAGCAAAATATGACTTCCAAACCACATATTATGGCAGATAGCCAAAAACGAGATAATTTTGAATGAGTGTCTCAAAAGAAGAAAGAAATATGGACAGAATGGAAGGTTCAGAAAAACAGAAATGTTACAGTGCAGAAGGAGGAATTTGACCCATCATCTCTGCACTAGTTCTTCAAATGAGTATCATTACCAAGTACCAATCCCTTGATTTTGCCCCATACCCTTGTGCATTGTTTCTATCCAAAAGATTTACAGAACAAATTTCAGAAAGGGTAAGGCTTAGATAACTGACTGTCACAGAGTCATACAGCAAGCAAGAGGCCAGAGTTAGCTGTGCACAGATATCTTGAATTGCAATGGCCTGGAGGAGGTTAGAGAGAAAGTGAGGAGTGAAACCATAGAGGGATTTGGAAACAATGGTGAGGATGACGAACATGAGAAGCGGGAGCAGGAGTAGGCCATCTGGCCCTTCCAGCCTGCTCCGCCATTCAATAAGATCATGGCTGTTCTTTTCATGGCCTGAGTTCCACTTATCCACCCTCTCACCATAACCCTTAATTCTTTTACTATTGAAAAAATTACATTTCTTAGCTTTCAATACATTCAATGAGGAAGCCTCAACTACCTCACTGGGCAGGGAATTCCACAGATTCACGACCCTTTGTTTGAAGAAGTTCCTCCTCAATTCAGTCCTAAATCTGGCCCCCCTCATTTTGAGGCTATGCCCTCTTGTTCTAGTTTCACCCACCAGTGGAAACAACCTCCCTGCTTCTATCTTACATATTTACTCCATAATTTTATGTGTTTCCATAAGATCCCTCCTCATTCTTCTAAATTCCAATGACTATAATCCCAGTCTAGTCAGCATCTCCTCAAAAGCCAACCCTCTTAACTCTGGAATCAACCTAGTAAATCTCCTATGCATCCCCTACAGTGCCAGTGCATCCTTTTGCAAGTAAGGAGATCAAAACTGTACATAGTACACCAGGTGTGGCCTCTCCAGTATCCTATACAGCTGTAACATAACCTCCCTGCTTTTAAACTCAATCCCTCTAGCAATGAAGGACAAAATTCCATTTGCCTTCTTAATTACCTGTTTTACCTGCAAACTGACCTTCTGCAATTCATGCACAAGGACACCCAGGTCCCTCTGCACAGCAGTATGCTGCAATTTTTTACCATTCAAATAAAGTCCCTTCTACTGTTATTCCTATCAAAATGTATTTAGTATCCACATTTATCAACATTGAATTCCATCTGCCAGACCTTTGCCCACTCACTTAAACTATTTATATCTCTCTGCAAACTTTCAGACTCCTCTGCACACTTTGCTCTACCACTCATCTTAGTGTCATCCGCAAACTTTGACACACAACACATGGTCTCCAATTCCAAATCATCATTGTAAATTATAAATAATTGCAGTCCCAGCACTGATCCCTGAGGCACACCACTAGTCACTGATCACCAACCAGAATAGTATTCACTTATCCCCATTCTTTGCTTCCTGTTACTCAACCAATCCTTGATCCATGCCAGTACATTGCCTGTAATGCTGTGCACCTTTATCTTATGCAACAGTCATCTGTGCGGCACCTTGTCGAATGTCTTTTGGAAATACAGATATACCACATCAATTGGGTCCCCGCTGTCCACCGTGCTTGTAATATCTTCATAGAATTCCAGCAAATTTGTCAAGCATGACCTGTCTTTCATGAACCCTTGCTGCGTCCTCCCAACAGGACAATTTCTATTTAGATGTCTTGCTATTTCTTTCTTGATAGATTCAACCATTTTCCCCACTATAGAAGTTAAACTAATTGGCCTATAATTCCCCATCTTTTGTCTATCTCTTTTTTCCAATCTGCTGGAACTGCCCCAGAGTCCAGTGAATTTTGGAAAATTACCATGAATACATTTACTATTTCTCCCGCCATCTCTTTTAGTAACCTGGGATGCATTCCATCAGGGCCAGGAAACTTGTTCTACCTTTAGCTTCATTGGCTTGCCCAACACTACCTCTTTCATGCTAATGATTGTGTCTAGGCCCTCAGCTACCTTAACCTCTTTGTCATCAATTATTGGCATGTTATTCGTGCCCTCCATTAAAATGAAGGCATTACTGGATTGGGAACAAACTTAGATCAATAAGCACAGGGAAATAGGATTGGTTGCAAGTAAGGCCGGTACAGTTTTGGATGACTTCAGGTTTATGAAGGTTGTCAATTGCTTCGAACTTCATGATTTTACAATAAGTATTTAGTATGCCCCAAGCAGTAGATTTGATAAACCAGCATTTTCGGCTTGATGCAGCAATTTGGGGGAGAGTGGGCATTAGCAAGAGCTAAATGCTCTGTGTAACTAACACATTGCTATATGAGCACAGGGACCTCAATGCCCATATTCCTGATTTACACATTGCAGTTAATTCATAACATTGAAATCCTGAAATGGAATATAAAGGGTGTTGTAATATCGCTGCATGACCGAATGGCCTCCCTGGAGTCTAAATGAAAATATGTCTTTTGGCTTCAGGATCAGATTGTAATCAGCACCAGAAGTAGCTAATAAATCCGAAACCACTCATCCAGTATTCTCAACATGCTGGTGAATTTTCTGGGAAAACTCAGAAAGCTGTTCAAAGAAAAGTAAATTTGTCACTCAGCACGTGAGAATGTTTATGCTGAAACATAAAGCTGATCAACATCTGGATACAAACCCAGGGAGGTGGTGAAAATCTCCTCGGTCTGTCCTGTAATTGAGTGGTGTATTGTTCTCCTTATTTAAATAAGGATGAAATGTGTTGGAGACGGTTCAGAAGAAGCTTACAAGGTGTACATCCGGAGTGAGCAGGTGGCCCTATGAGGAAGAACTGGACAGGTTGAGCTTGTTTTCACTGGGTTTAAAAGGATAGGGGGTGATTTGATTGGAGTTTATAAGATCCTGAATGATATTGACAGGATGAACAGAGAAAGAATGCTTCCTTGTGTGGGTGAGTCCAGAACTATTAAAATTAGGGGTCATCCTTTTAGACCAGAGATGGTTGTGTGACCCAGGGGCACTCTGCCTCAGAGGATGGTGGAGGAGGGTCATTTAATATTTTAAAGACAAGGAATCAAAAGTTATTGGGAATACTGTTAAAGGAAGGATATTATTAAGCTGGAGAGGGTTCAGAAGAGATACACCAGCGTGTTGCCAGGAATGGAGAGTTTGAGTTATAAGGAAAGGCTGGATAGGCTGGGCCTTTTTTCACTGGAGTGTAGGAGGTTGAGAGGTGACACTGTAGAGGTTTATAAAATCATGAGACCTTTAGAGTGGTTCATGTGTGGAATGAACTTCAAGTGGATGTAAGTATAGTTACAACATTTAAAGGATATTTAGATAAGTACGTGAATAAGAAATGTTTGGACAGATATGGACCAAGCGCTGACAGGTAGGGCTAGTATAGTTTGGGATTATAGTCGGCATGGACTGGTTGGACTGAAAGGTCTGTTTCCATGCTGTATAACTCTGACTCAATCATATATGGTAATGGGGGTCTAGTGGTATTATCGCTGGACTGTTAATCCAGAGACCCAGACAACGTTCTGGGGGCCTGGGTTTGAATCCCACCACAGCAGATGGTGGAATTTGAATTCAAAAGAAATCTGGAATTAATAGTCTAATGATGACTGTGAATCCATTGTCGATTGTTGGAAAAACCCATCTGGTTCACTAATGTCCTTTAGGGAAGGAAACTGCCATCCTTACCTGATCTGACCTACATGTGAATCCAGATCTACAGCAATGTGATTGACTCTTAACTGCCCTCTGAGCAATTAGGGATGGGCAGTAAATGCTGCCTAGCCAGTTATGCCCTCATCCCATAAATGAATAAAGGAAAAAAATATGTGGAATTCAGAATATAAACGGGTCAGCCATGATCTTATTGTATAGTAGGGAAGGCTTGAATGGCTAAATGGACTAATTCTGCTCTTAATTCATGTATTCATATGTTCTGCTCCCTAAAGACCCTACACACCAGAAATGAGTGTTGATGAAGGTCTTAGTGATAAGCAGCAGAGATGTTCTGACAATTCTATACTAACTAGAAAAAAATTAGTAACCATTTTCAGTGAGAAGGTACAAGGTAGTCTAAATAGTAAACAGAATAAATCCTTATTTAACAGCTATTTTTCTAAAATTTCCATTCACTAATCAGTGCACCAAATAACATTGTGTCTAGCTTGACCTACATGACACAAAACAATGGGCTCTGATTTTGAAGCTGTGCAAGTGACCAAATTTTGAGTGACTCAAAATTGGGCCCATTATGCACTTGAAGTAGGACCTGTTTAGTTCCCACAGTTTGACAGCCCTCACCTTGAAGGTCATAGTTTCACCTGAAAATATTAAATCTTTAAGGAACTGGATTTATCAAGATTTATTCCAGTGTAGAGAAGTGTAAAGTGAGAGATTGTAATACAAAGGATAATTTCTAGAATGCCCGCGGTGTGGAAGCAGGCCATTCAGCCCATCAAGTCCACACCAACCCTCTGAAGATCATCCCACTCAAACCACCACCACCCCCATCCCCCAACCCTGTAACCCTGCATACTCTGGGCAATTTAGCATGGCCAATCCACCTAACCTGTACATCTTTGGACTGTGGGAGGAAACCAGAGCACCCAGAGGAAACCCACACAGACACAGGGAGAATGTGCAAACTCCACACAGACAATTGCCTGCTGGTATTGAACATGGGTCCTTGGTGATGTGAGGAAGCAACGCTAACCACTGAGCCACCCTTCCAGCATTATGTCCTTCTAATATGCAGCTTTACTAGGGGGTACATATTTTGGGGATTCTCAGAAGAATTCCCTGTAATTTAGAGCCCATTAATTTTAATGAACAGAAGATCTGCATGAGAATATTTCTGAATTACCAATATGCACGCATCATCTGATAATAGAATCATTATAGGCAGTACTTATGCATCATGTACAAAATACTCTGGGTTAGTGAGGCATCTTAGAATAGTAGAGGTTTACAGCACAGAATAAGGCCCTTCAATCCATCAAGTATGTGCCAGTCAAAAACAAGAACCTAACTTTATAGGTTCTTGTACCTTTTGTAAAGTCCTCCCAATCTGAGCAGTGGTAAATGCAACTTCCATAACAGACAAACATTTTGCTTTTACATCCAAGTGCACTTGACCTAAAAAAAGGTTAAACTCCATGAGGGATAAACCATTTTCTGCTTTATTTTAGTGGTAATCTGGAATGAGATAGTCAATTAGCCCCAGTTTTCAGTCACGGGTCTCTCTTTTTTTGGGATCTGACCTGCAACTGAACTCCAACTGATGGTGAAGAGGTTCCTCTGGTTTTGTTAGCTGGAACATATCCAGAGTATTAACGTATTTTATCTTGAAAGGAACCTGCCACCTATGCTGGCAAGTTAAAGGCCAGAGGGAACCATATCCTGCCTAATTAAAAAGTACTACGTGTGGCACACAATGCCCCCTTTTGGGTGGTGTGGTGGCTCAGTATTTAGCCCTGCTGCCTCTCAGCATCAGGGACCTGGGTTCAATTTAAGGCTTGGGCAACTGTTTGCTGGAGTTTGCACATTCTCCCTCAAAGATGTGTGGGCTAGGTGGTTTAACCAGGGGAATGCAGGGTTACAGGGGTAGGGAGGTGTTTCTGGGTGGACTCAATGGGCTGAATGGCCTGCTTCCTAATTGTAGGGATTCTGTGATTATTTGCCTTGTGCCCTGCACTACTACATGGCAGTAATGGCAATCCTGACAAAATCTGTTGACTGTTTTATCTCCCAGCTTTTACTGGAAAGCTCCTGTTTATTTTTTTGTCCAAAATTAAAACCCAGGACCTAGGAGGAACAGTGACATTGTAGTATTGTTACTGGGCTGATATTCTGGAGGCATAGGTTCAAATCACTCCAGGAGAGTTAGTGATCTTTAAATTAATTAAACCAGAATTGTTTTAGCTAGTCTCAGTAATTGTGACCAGGAAGCTGCTAGAATTGTGCAAAAACTCTGTGTGAGGACAGAAATCTCTTGTTCTTACCTGAGCAGGTCTGCACGTGTCTTTAGACACACAGCAGTGTGGTTGACTGTTAACTGCCCTAAAATGGCCTAGCAAGCCACTCAGTTGTATCAATTGCACAACACAGGCTGCACTAATTCAAGAAAGGTGGCTCACCATCACCTTCTCAAGGGCAACGGACGGGAAAACAAATCCTGCGAATGACATTTTGAGACAATGTTCAGCTTTCCACATTGTTGTCCAAATGGTAAAAGTTGTTGTGCCTTTCCTATGTTAAGTTCAGATTTTTAATTTGATTTCATTGGGATTTCTCCAAGTGATAGAATTTGCACATTCTCCCCGTGTCTGCGTGGGTTTCCTCCGGGTGCTCCAGTTTCCTCCCACAGTCCAAAGATGTGCAGGTTAGGTGGATTGGCCATGCTAAGTTGCCCATAGTGTTCTGGGATGTGTAGATTAGGTGGGTTATAGGGGGATAGGTCTGGGTGGAATGCTCTGAGGTTCAGTGTGGACTTGTTGGGCTGAAGGGCCTGTTTCCACATTGCAGGGATTCTATGATCTATGATCTTCTATGATCTATGATCCATTATTTCCCAATGGAATGTCTTCCAAGTGTTTCAAGCAGTTAGTAAATATTGGCGTATTTTGTCTCCAAGGCTGCCTCCTCCAGAAGCTCCTCTGGTTAATCTGTGGGGTGATATGATTGGACCTGCATTCTCACTTGCTATTGTTGGATACGTCATTAATCTAGCAGTGGGGAGGACAATCTCCGCTCGGCATAGCTACATTGTCAACGCAAACCAGGTATGAAACTGCTCACAAGTGTGTCAAGGGTGGCCTTTTAAAAATCAACTATAATATTCTAATTACAACATCAGTAAACTCTTTTATTCCAGGCTGTTGTTCCGTTCCACCAGTGCCAATCTGTCAATTGTTTTTGTAAAATGAATACTTTGTAGCTGTGGATTTTGTAGTGATAAGGTCAAAGTGTATAATCTGGCATTAATCCCAAATGTTTTATATCATAAGTGACTTCAAATATCTTCCAGAGCAACTAACCAACAATTCTAATTATCTCAGCTAACTGGGCCAACCTTGCCCTTCCTCATGAGCTTGATAAATTGCCTGCTGGATCTAGAAAATAATATGCGGTTGAAGAAAACATTAACCATTGTTTCCCTGCCCTCATGCCAAGTGCATCTTATCATCCCCTAGCAAAGCCTGTCTCTCAGACCTTTAATTAGTCCACTTTTTCATTACACTTCTACCTTGATACTATTGTTAAGTAAAGGTTCATCCTTTTACCCTCTTGCCTTCCTTCACCAACTGAATGAAGTTGAGAAGGAATCTTCCTTAATTGCTTGATCCTAATTAAAGCTGAAAATATGCACTGAATTTTCAGGTCCCACTGAGGTCAGGAACAGAAGTAGACAGGATCCACAAATACCAGCAGTGGAGGGGGTATCATTTTCCATAAAGCATTCCTAGCACAGACAATTTTGGGGTCAGCAAGGCTGCTTGCTCTCACAAGGATATCAACCAATTAGGCTGGTTAAAACCTCATTATTAGTGGGTAAAGAAGGCCATTTTCAAGTTGTCCTCGATTTCCACTATGATGAGGGAATGGGAATGCGCATCGGTCTGGATATGGGCACATAATGCCTGAAATGTTGTGACTCACAGGTTAAACTCACAACTATTGTCTCTCTCTAATGAGAGCTGCCAGGCTTACAGCCCACCAGGTGATTTCACCTTTACTTGTATGAGAAATGGATAACCAACCCCTCCTATCGAAGGAAGGCTTCAATATAAATGGACTTTGAACAACTTCCATCTAAACATAAGATCTGATTTTTGGACAGATGTCAATAGTTTTGAGATGCTCTCTGATTACAGCAGTATTTGTAACTGTACCAATATATATTATGGTAACATAAACTTTCAGGATTCCAATCTTCCTTGCTACTGTCGTAATTTCTGCTTTTCTATATTCCAGGAAATGTTGGCACTAGGCTTTGGTAACTTTTTTGGATCATTCTTCCGCATCCATGTTATCTGTTGTGCATTGTCAGTGACTTTGGCCATAGAAGCAGGTGGTGGAAGCTCACAGGTAAATTGACTAATTTCGTTGCTGCTATTGCTACTGAAGGTATGGATCTAAATGGCAAAGTAAAGATTTAAGAGCCCCCAGCACATGTAAGCATACCACTTCAGTTTAACAAGTGAAAATTTAACAGTTTACTGACATTGATACTTTCCTGTAGCTTATCCATTTGTCTTACCCCTTCCATAATGCTGGATTTCATGGTCATTTTATATAGCTCATGATGACAAACAGAAATCCTTCATGGTATATGTTTCCCACCTCCTGTGAATTCAAACAGAAACTTATCAGTGGCTGGTAGCCAACTAGGACTACTGTCCTGAGAAAACCCTCTCAGAGACACAGTGTGGCTGTAGACTTTCTGGAGCAAACTCTGACATGGTCTCTGCTGCCAGAAAAATCCAATAAAGGGATCTGGAACAATACCAGGAATTCTGGAACACCGTTCAGTTCCTTTATGAATCCACGTTGATTAATGTCTATGCAGCAAAACACATTATTCACTTTGGTGACAAGTGGGGATTTAGCCCTTATCTGGTTCACAACTTTCTCAATGCTCAGATCATTAAAACAATCAGTGAAAAGGCAGGATTCCTGGCAAGTAGGTATGAGCACATTTCTCCAATTAGAAGGTTCCGCAACAAAAGCCAAAAGCACAGACTTTTATGGAGCTTTGCCAGTGTAATACAGGCAGGAATGTTTGCAAACTCAGACCTGAACATTTCAGATACTGTGAGTCCTGACCTGACATCTGAGTTGCCTGTAGATTCTTGTACAGTTTGATCCCCATGCAGTCCTGGAGTGGATAAGCACAATGACCTCTGTGTCAGCGGTGAGGACTCCCAAAAGTGTAAGTTTCCCTGATCTGCCTCAGAAGAAGCTGTCATATAGAAGCAAGTCTCTCCAGACAGGTTCAGGTCAATCTCCAAGCTCGGACCCATGGAGATCAATGCGATATAATTTAAATGACCTCTCACACGTTGATCGGCGAAGCCATGGTTTGGAGAGGAGAATAGAGGAACCATTGTTTTTTTGATGGGGAGTAACTCTGCTCCTCCATGCACCAGCCCAGAATGATTTAACTGGAATATTCATATATTTCATTGAGGCAACACCACTAGTTTGCTCACAGCCCACCAAATATTTTTTCACTCCTCTCCCTGACTCTACAGGATAAGCAATGGAGGCATTTGAGTACTTCCTGACACTTATAGTACCCCTGAAACCATTTTTATGATTTACAGGGCTTTGAATTTTTTTTTGCTGCTTTTGCACTTAGAGTGAAATCTCCATTTTTAACTTCTCGCTGTTGCTATTTCTTATGAACACCAGATTTTGTACTGTTACATATTAGCCCATTTGTTCAAAGCACCGACTAAGACCTAAATGAAGTCAGTTTGTGTGTGTGTGTGTGTGTTTGTATCTGTGTGTGTGTGTGTTTGTATGTTCGTGTATGTATGTGTTTGTGTGTGTGTGTGTTTGTATGTGTGTGTGTGTGTGTGTGTGTGTTTGTATGTGTGTGTGTTTCAGGCACGCACTGTTTCCCTCATAGTGTATTCTTGGAGCTCAGAACTAATTGAACAGCCAATCATGCCAATGCTGAAACTTGATGAATGTAAAATAGGCCAATTGCTGGCTGTAAGGTCACCTGTACACAATCCAGCTGTATGGATAGCTGCTACCATCTGGAGCAACCCCTTGACATAGAGGTTTATTGAAGTTATCACCGTTACTAAAAACGTAATGCAAATATTTATCCTTGTCTAGAGACCTTCAAATTAGACTTTGTGATATGATGTGTCATCTCTTCATTCCAGTTTGCAAGTCTATGCGTAGCGACAGTGGTCTTAGTGATACTCCTGGTTTTAGGAACATATTTGGAGCCACTACCGAAGGTAAGAGACTTTTCATGGGATGACGCATAGAAGGAACTAACTTGCATTTCCGTGAAGCATTTTGTGTCTTTGAAAACCCCAAAGTGCCTCACTGCAAATTCATTGCTTTTAAGGTGAAGGTCACTGTTGTAACGTAAGGAACTAGGGCCAAGTAGCGGTGATAACTAACAGATCAACTGTTTTTACTGCTTAAGTTGAGGGATAACCAATGACCGGGACATTGGAAAAGGTGCATTATCTTCTTTCAAATAAATCCACGGGAGTCTTCACTGTAACCAAAGGGATGAACATCAATTTAGCATTTCATTCAAAAGATGGCATTTCTGACATCTGGCTCTTTCTTCTGTAAACCACAGCCAGGCTTGACCTACGGCACATACCACTAAATCTGTCAACAAACGGACATTACCAAATATTGAACGACTGAACATGTCTATTATTGAGTCATAGAGTCATACAGCGTGGAAACAGACCCTTCGGTCCAACCTGTCCATGCCGACCATGCTCCCAAATTAAACTAGCCCCACCTGCCTACAGTTGGCCCATATCCCTCCAAACCTTTCCTAATCATGTACTTATCCAAATGTCTTTTAAAAGTAGTAACTGTACTCACATTAATCACTTTCTCTGGCCGTACATTCCATACATGAATCACTCTCTGTGTAAAAAAATTGCCCATGAAATCCTTTTTAAATCTTTCTCCTCTCACCATAAAAATATGTCCTCTCGTTTTGAACTCCCCTACATTTGGAAAAGACCCTTGTCATTCGCCTTATCAATGCCCGTCATGATTTTATAAACTTCAGTAAGGTCACCCCTCAACCACGTACGCTCCAGTGAAAATGTCCCAGTCTTTCCAGTCTATTTTTACATCTCAAACCCTCCATTCCCAGAAACATCTTTTCTGAACCCACTCCAGTTTAATACTATTCTTCCCATAACAGGGCAATCAGAACTGCACATGGTATTCCAGAAGCGGCCTCACCAATGCCCTGTACAACCTCAACATGATGTCCCAACTTCTATACTCAAAGATCCGAGCAATGAAGGCAAGCATAGTAAACACCTTCTGCCTTAAGAATGCCTAATTTGAAATTAAGCCATTCTAAACAACATATGTTTGTACTTACATTTAAGCATTTTTTTTTGTTCAAAGTCCTTGTTTTCTCAAGCACAGAAATAGTCTTTGAGATATGCAAGTGGCTGATGATGGAGCCGAGGTCCACAAACCCTGAGGCTGTGATTCTGCATAAGCACCTTGACTATAGTGGCTCATTGGGAATTGGAAATGTATCCCCATGATCATTAATTTCAAAGTACCCTGGTCTGCTTTCACTATAAAGTGTCTCACAATCAACATCTCAAATCAGTTTGTTATCATGCACACTTGTCTGTGATAGCAGCACAGCTAAGCATGGTGCCAGACCTGCTGAGTTTCTCCAGCATTCTCCGTGTTTGTGTTCAGATTTCCAGCACCTGCAGTATTTTGCCTTTAGCATGGCAGCCATGTAATTCTGCAAAATATTCATCTTCAAAGTTTGGCTGAAGAAGATGATCTAGCCACCTGCAGATGCGTCGAGGTCAATGGCCAGATCTTGACGTAACTAGTAATGTTGTCAGTGTTTGTTGATTGATGAGGAGAGTGAAACTTCAACCATAGATGTGTCAATTTTCACAAGTGTAGAATCAGCTTTGGAGCTTCCTGTTTTCCATTAGACTAATTGCATTCAGTTCTTTTGGTTAACATGATGCAAAACAATGGGTCATTCATTTCCTCCAATATAAGGTGAGAGTACAGTTCTAATTGCATTTCCTCATGCTCTTGTTGTGACACATTCCCCAAGTTGTTTGAAGTGTGTGACTGAAAGAGATGCTACCTTCATCTTAGCCTGTCAAGCACTGTTTGCTGAGCAATTGTCCATTCTCATTGTGCTTTCTTGCACAGTAGCTTTTGAAGAGGCTGCATGATCTCTGCCTACTTAGGTATGAACTTATGATAAATGTTGACAGCACTGAGGGTCAGTTCCAACTCTTTTACCTTAGACAGGGCCTGAAGCACATGGACAGTTTGATACTAAAAACTGAAAGAACTGCAGATGCTGTAAATCAGGAACAAAAACAAAGTTGCTGGAAAAACTCAGCATGTCTGGCAGCATCTGTGAAGGAAAAAACAGAGGTAACGTTTCGGGTCCGGTGACACGTCCTCAGTTCTGACGGAATGCCACCAGCCCCAAAATATTAACTCTGTGACGTTTTGATATTGTTGTCTGTGTGCTCCAGTCCAGTTGCTGTCACCCAGAAATGTCAATCTCACATGCCACAGATGTGCATCTTTCCTCATTGAACACCAATTGTGTTGTGTGAGTCAAATGAACACTGTTGATGACCACTGATTACTGTGTTTTGCCTTACTTTTCCATGGACAATGATGTCACTGATGGGTTAAGCCATCCCCTTAGCTCTGACAAGGGGAAGAATGATATTCTGGATTCTATGAGGCACTGAGTTTAGCAATCTGGATAACAGCACAGAGAACTGGCAACAGATACACTAACACCAAACAATTGAACGCACAACACTGACTAATGCCTATATTGGTCTCTGGGTGGAATACAGCATTCAAAAACTCTGAAGCAATCAACCTCCTGCAGCAGGATGAACTAGCTGGACCAAATGGCCTCCTTCCTTGTGTATTTATAGGATTTAAAGTGGATCAAAGTGTATAAAAGGGAACTGGGAAATAAAAGAGTTATAATATTTTAAATAGACACTGGCAGCGTCCAAAAGACAAGGGGTTACATGATCCTTATGGTTTCAAAAAACAGCAGCGTTTGACATCATTCAAGTACATGAATGTGCTTTGTTTTGTTTCTAGGCTGTACTGGGAGCATTGATAGCAGTGAACCTGAAAAACACTTTAATGCAGGTCACAGACCCCTATTACCTGTGGAAGAAAAGCAAACTGGACTGTGTAAGTGGGATTTGTTTAGTATGAGCATCAGAAACATGTAATGTGTTGGCTGCAGTTTGTCAAGGCACATATGGACAGCATATGCTTGAATGTGCAGCTCCCAGCACCCTCTTCTGAACTAGTTGTTTAGAAATTCAGACTTTTCTACATGCATTTTGAAACTCAAAAACTGAGATACACCAAGTTCTAAAGAAATCTAACCGAATTGTAGTGTCCACTTACTAAACACATGGATGTTACAGTACTGAATAATTCATTCCAAACCCAGGTTCCAGACTTGTGCCAAAATACCTGATCATCACAACAACATCATGAATTTAGATTGTTTTGAGTGTGTTGTAAAATATCCCAAAGTGTTTCACAGATAAATTACCAGATAAAATTTGAAACAGAGTTGAACAAGGGATCAATTGGGACAGGTTACTAAGATCTTGAAGGAAGGGAGCGAAATGGAGAGGTGCAGACAAGTAAGGAGAAGCCTCCAGCATCTAAAGCTTGGACAGTTGAAGACATATCCATCAGGGGTGAAGCAATTAAAATTGGAGAAGCAAAAGAGGCCAGAGTTGGAGGAGCACGGGATTCTTGACGTACTGTGGGGCTGAATGATGGTGCAGAGATACGAAAACAATAAATCAATCATGTTATTGATTGCTACACAGTGACTCACGGTGAAAGGTGCAGACTCTGGTTAGGAGCACTATCAACCTGAACAACAGTGCCTTTCAGAGTTGAATATCTTACCGTCAGCAGCTACTGTTAAGTAAAACAAATAAAAACATGGTGAAGTGGACAAGGACAGCTACAACTCATGGCACTGTATGAAGCATGAGTAAGCAGCTTCTAGAGAGAAAACTGGAAGGCAAAGTTAGACAGTAGCACAGGAAAGCAATGTGGGGGAGGCAAGTACTTGTGGTAAGGTCACTGTGGTAGGGAAAAGGTTAGGAAAACTAGGAAGCCCACATGAAAGTGTAGGAGATATGCAGCTGCATTAAAAATTCCAAATAGCTTGCTTAGGTCACCCTCACTGGTTTCCAAATTCTTCATTTTCAAATGCTGTTAAGCAATAAAAAATACATAGAAAACAGGTGCAGGAGAAGGTCAGTTGGCCCCTCAAGCCTGCTCTGCCATTCAATATGATTATGATGATCATCTAATTCAGTACCTTGTTCCTGCTTTCTCCCATACCCTTTGATCCCTTTAACCCTTTGAACTAATTCTAACTCCTTGCTGAAAACATTCAGTCACTTCCTGTGGCACAGACTTCCACAGGCTCACTACTCTTTGAATGAAGAAATTTGTCCTCATCGATGTTCTAACTACCCCATCCTCCTCATCCCAGTTCTAACTACCCCATCCTCCTCATCCCAGTTCTAACTACTCCATCCTCCCCATCCCAGTTCTAACCACCCCATCCTCCCCATCCAAGTTCTAACTACTCCACCCCTCACCATCCCCATTCTAACTACCCCACCCTCTTCATCCCAGTTCTAAATACCCCATTCTCCTCATCCCCATTCTAACTACCCCACCTCTCCTCATCCCCATTCTAACTAACCCACCATCCTCATCCCAGTTCTAACTACCCCATCCTCCTCATCCCAGTTCTAA